TATGTCAACTTGGAATGAATATCCCCAAAAATATGCTTTCAAGGGAGCAATAATCTAGTTTCTTTCAAATGGATTGAATATCATTGATCGTTTAACTTATAATCTTGCAGACAACATTGAAATTGAGCCTCATTACACATTCATGCTCTCAATTCTTTCAATTGGTTACATTGAACATTACATTGAAGGTTTTCACCCTCTATTGTTCGTTTTACAGCAAGAATCGTCACAAGACATCAAGGAAACACAAAGAAAAGAATGATTCATTAATCTAAAACGTTAACAATGGCAAGTGAACATAATAAGTACAGTGAGACAATGTGTCTTGAGGTGGAATGGAAAAGGTGGACAAATAAATTTGCAACAAATAAATCAGTTAAATGGTTGATCCAAGATTATTGAAGATTTTCAAAAACTTTGACAAACTTTTTAATTTTTTACAGACACCAATTTCCTTTGCTGCAATATTCATTAAAAAAAAAAAAATCATACTTGAATTAAAATGATATACCGGTACATGATGCATGTGAATGTTCTTTTTTAATAATTAATTTATCAATACTGATACTTACTGTATCCAATGCTTAACTAATGAAAGCTTAATTTATAGGTAAAATGACCTTTGGTCTTCGACCTAATGACCCATCTATGCAAAATTGAGATGAGGAGGGCATTTCCTTACACAGCTTTCAAAAGTATCATTTGTGTTTATTAAATTTACAGGTATAAGTGCATCTCATGATTGGACTTAGAATTTTTTTATTTATTTATTTATTTTTTTTTTTTTTGGGGGGGGGGGGGGATCACCTACACATTATATTTGTAATAGATACACATTTTATGTTGATGATCCCAGCACTGTTGATGGTTTATAGCAACAAAAAAGTTAAAAGTATATATAAAGAAAACTATATCACTTTACGACACTGATGTGTAGATTTGATCTGAAAATTTCTCAAGAACAGTCAATATATGAACTTTATGAAGGTATAGACTTTTTATTAAAGACAAGCAAGTGCCTTGTTATCTGTGAAGAAAAAAAAGTTGTTAAAGACAATTGTTTTGTTATCTGTTTAAAAAAGAACTGTGTTAAAGACAAGCAAGTGCCTTGTTATCTGTTAAGAAAAAAAAAGTTGTTAAAGACAAGAAGTGTCTTGTTACTGTTGAGAAATAGAACGGTTTTAAAGACAAGCAAGTAACTTGTTACAGTACCTGTTATTCATTTATCAGTTAGGACTTTCTGATCAGTTATACCAACAATTATGGAAACCTATATTCTCATATTGTTTTTGCAGGAATTTAAAGTAAGATGTGTTTTTTTGCTTATTACTCACTATAAATACTAGTTTAATTGACAATATGCATGGTATCGGGACATTTCCTACCTTATATTGCGTTATCTAACTTGGTATATGAAAATCAAAAATAAAGACTGGTGAATGTATTGATTACAAAAAAAGTAAATTGCATTTAAACATTCAGATGTCACTGTTAAACAAAGTGTCCTCTCCATAACATACAATGTATATCAACGAGTCACTCTTTGAGAGTTTGGATTATAGAAAAAATAAATAATAAGACTTGTATATAAAAACTGGTGTATCAATAGACAATATCAGTATTGTTTTTATTGTAAAATACTGTTTAAATGACATGAAACAATGTATGAATAACAAAACTTTCACGCCATATATTCTGAGATAAAGTTGGAGTTGTAATGATGGTGAATAATTTGAAGTTTATCCTCTCCAATATATGTCACTTGGCTCATATAATGTTCCAATAATCTATTGGCATGTTCTTACAGAAATGTTAGAAATGAATGATGCATAGCAATTTACATATCAACTAATATAGTAAGAGTTCATATTGCTAAGATTTGTTGTTAAACAAATGTCCTCTCCAAAACATGTCAATGAATTAAGTTTGGAAGCTCATATTTGATTAAAACTTGCATTCACTTGTTTTTTTTTACACAGCATCAAATAATTTAGACATAAATGCAACACTGTATACCAAATTTGAAGTCTATATAAGAAGAAGGACAAGAAATTCTCATGTCATTAAATAAATTCAACCTCCCCATAATTCAGTTTCCTATAAAATACACTAATTTTATGGCAAAATATGGCTTAAGTGAATAGGAAATAAGTGCATCAACATCTGATAAGTATAAAAAGGCATATAAAAGTACAGAAAACTATGTGTATACCATTTACAGGTATAATAAAGCTGATGTGTTCTTTGTTAAACAAAATGTCCTCTCCAAACGCCTATTTTTGTTACTGTATTTCAATCGAATATTTCTATATGTAAACATGGACTTGACGCTCTATAATTTTACACATTTCTGACATATACCCCAAACTTTCAGAATCTGTGCATCTTTTGCTCTAACAACAATTTTCATTTTTGACCCCCAGTGAGAAAAAAAGTGTACACTTAACGTGAAATGACCCAGATACCACTGACAGTGACAGTGAGCTGTAGTTAGTAATCACAAGTTTGTAGTGGTTGCTATACAGAGTCAATGTCCTGGTGTATGGGAGCCGAGGAACCGGTGCATGCAGAATGCAATAAAAATGACATTAATGTGAAACGTGGGAGTTACTAGCAGTAAAATCAGAATGTGATGTTGTTTGGCTCTGACCTACATGTTCAGGTCAAAGGTTAAAGTTAAGAGATTTAGAGAAAGTACTGGTAAGGGGAAGGTGATGTTAGAATTGTGTAGGAGTGGGGAGATTTTCTGAGAGAACACAGGCATTTGTCTTTTGTTCTTGTATCTAGATAGCCAAAAACAATATCATTCTCTGTGGAAATGGTAATGTTGATCCAGGTTACGAAATTTGATTTTTTAAATTGGATGTCCCACAAGAGGATGGGAATGAAGAAAGGAGAGAGGGGGATAGAGAGGAGAGAGCAAAGAAAAGGAGAGATTAGGAGGGAAGGCAGAGGCAGTCATGCAGCCATGTATGTAAGGAGGCACCTAGTGGGAGGGAGGGAGGGAGAGAGAGTGAGTGAAGGAAGGGGAAGAAAGGAAACAGGGGGGGGGGGGAAGGAATTAATTAATGAAAGGCAGGGAGAAAGCAAGAAAGATGGGACAAAGGGGAGAGAGGGGAATGAGGGGGTGATGAGGGTGAAGAGGGGGTGATAAGGGGGAGGAGGCGAGATGAGAGTGAAGGAGAGAGAGAGAGAGAGAGAGAGAGAGGAGGATAGAGAGATGGATAAGCTGAACATAAGAGATGGAGAGGAGAAAAGAGGGGAAATGTAGGAGAGAGAGAGAGAGAGAGAGAGAGATGGGAAGAGAATTGCATGAAAGAGGATGAATTATAGGATCTTACATAGGTAAATTAATATAGTTCAAGAAAGCCTGGATGAGGTATGACAAAAGAGGAGGGAGGGACGGAGGGAGGGAGATCGATGATCTGCTTGATAATACATGTTTGTTATGTGTTTTAAAAGTATGACATTGTCAACAGTTTTTCTAACCATTCTTTGTTGCCATGGCTACCATGATTCACCATTCCTTCTTGACCCCTGGTGCAACTACGTGTGAAGGTCATTGAAAGCCATTGTCTGACCTATCATCATCATCATTTTGGGGGCACTTCCAATTCCGTTAGTCATGGGTAATTTCAAGGTGAATCACGTATTGAGCCCACTTTCTAGCAATCTTCTATTTATCACATGTGTGCACCATGTGGGCGTGTTGTTTTCAACACGGCTGAAAGGGAATGACCCGCAAATGGGAAGATTGAAGAGCTGGGATTATTGGAACTTTCTTGAGAGTACCTGCAAGAAGGCCATTAATGTCATTGATGATACATAGCTGTTTTGGCCTTCTTGCAGTGTATGTAGTTGATATTTTGTGTGTAGGAGGCTAGGAAAATAGAAAAGAAATTTGTAGTCGTTTATAATTTTAGTCGAGTCAGTATTATTGAAATTGCATTCAAATGAATGTTCCTTTGGGAAGATTAATATAAAGCAGTTGAAATGATGAAGAAAATGAGAGAACGCTTGATTGATAGGTCATTATGGTTGTTCAAATTTTATTATTCTTTATATACTGCTTAGTGAGCATTTTTCTCATGAATGATGTTCACATGCTTCAAGCTATAAACAATTTAACTTGATATATCTCTGTTAGATATTGATAATATAGGATGATATTTCTGTCATTGCGTTTTTATATTGCATACATATTATGATGTGATAATTTTTTGTTTTCTCCTCTATCTTGTACTTTTCTGTTCTTATTTCACATAAATATATCATATTAATGTAATAATTATCATTATCAGAAGGGATTTTTGAATTGCAGGCTGTTCATTCACTTATGGCTAGAGTCCTGGATCGAACTTGTTTATATAATCATTTTGTATGTTTGTTTTTGAGGTGAATGAAGAGAAATTGACTTCAGTCTTTCCCAAATTTAGCTTTTATACTTTCTTCCTTAAACTTTCACCCATTCACCTTTTACCAAGTTTATCATTGTGAAGGTGGATATGTAAATGGCTTGAATATCATCTTCTGATCACAATCTCTCTCTCTATCTAAGCCTGTCTTCATCAGCTTGAGATTGCCAAATATCCGCTATTTGAACTAAATCCTGATCGCAAATTATCCAGCTAATTTGCTTCTTCATCAGCCCGTAGTTGCAATTAGCGGGATAATTGGTCGAGATAATCATCCCAAGATATCTTGGGCTATAGTTTGCAAAATATCCCGCTATTTGTCTGGTGTAACTTCACCAGCCCGAAGACTCGCACTATGCATGAACGCTGAGCAAAATATCTTGAGTTAGTTTCTCGAGCTCAAGATTCAAGTTTCAAGGTCGAGTCTTGAGCTGATGAGGACGCCATTTTGTAACTTCAGGATTATTTCCCAAATCAGAAATAGAGGGCTATTTGGCAATCTCGAGCTGATGAGGATAGGCCTATTCTTTCTCTCTCTCTCTCTCTCTCTCATAATTAATTAATTTGTTTTCAATTAATCTACAGGCTGGAGCAGTGTGTTTACATGCGGCTGCCAAGCGAGGACATACTGGTGTTGTCAAGGCGTTGCTACAAAAGGGAGCATCAGTTGATGCAAGAACAAAGGTTGGTCATATTTTTCAAAAGTTAATTCCCCTCTTTTGGATTTTCTGTTTTTATAGAATCAAAATCTTCTTTTGCATTAGTCATGATTTTGAAATATATTTCAACCTTCATTGTTTAATTGTGTTTATGTATTGGACATTTAGTAATGTTTTTATTATTACCTACTGTTTTTCCTTTCACCGTTTGTTGCGATACTTCATATTAACGTTACAAAGATGGTGCTAGTTGAAATCAGTAATGTTACAAGATTCCCCAGGTTTTTGAGAGCATCATTTACCTTTCATGCTCAAATGTGGACATAATGTATTCAAATGCCAAATCTGCTTGAAATTGGATACCAGCTTTAGAATTGTTTGAGAATTTTTTTCAACATTAAAAAAATTATTTTAGGCTCTAATCTAGGATAATGTAATTTATTATGTTGCTATGCTTTTTCTTGATTTGTTGTCATTCAGGATAACTACACAGCTCTCCATATAGCAGTGCAGCATTGCAAGCCACTGGTAGTACAGGTGTTACTGGGTCATGGGGCTCAGGTACAACTGAAAGGCGGCAAGGTGAGAATCACTTTTTTTCTTCCAAGCAATTTCAGAAAGAGGCAGATAATTTTTTTCTTCCTTTCTTCTATTTATAATGTATATTTTGTATTTCTGTATTAATTTGTTCCCAATACAAGCTATGCTTACTGGGATTCACACCTTCTTCCTTGTAATACAAGTTCTTAAATTATATTTATGTTCTTATGTATGAATTGTATTGTTTGAAGAGATGTCAAATATGTTGTCAAATTGAACGGAAGAAAATAAATGTTAATTTGAATTGAAAAATATAACATGCAATAACCAAAAATTGAACTTCAAATCAAGCACTTTAATTTTTAGGAGATTATGCTTGTAGGAATCTATACCAAGGCAACCAATAGCCAGTTTACAGCATATACAGAGAAGTCCTGTGAAAAGAAGTAATGAATTAAAATTTATGTAATAAAGAGAAAGCAGTTGTTATATATCTGACTCTCTCATTCTGTTTATCTCTTTCACTCTCTTCTTGTTCCTTTTTCCTTTGTTCTCTTTACTTCTTCCTTATTTTAATTTGATTTCAAATTCATGCACTCTTTGTTTTGCTTTCTTCTTTGGTTTCCCCTTTTCTCTACCTCTCTCTTGCTTTTGTTCTATCTAATATTCTCATTTATCTCACTCTGTTGGTCTCTACCTTCCCCTTCTCCTCTCTCCCTTTCTCTCTTTCTCCCTCTCTCACCATCTCTCTCCCTCTCTCTCCTTCTCCCTCTCTCACCATCTGTGTCATTATCTCTGTCACCATCTCTCTCATTTGCTCTGTCAACATCTCTCTCTCCCCCTCTCTCTCTCTCTCTCTCCCCCTCCCTTCATCTCTCTGTCTCCGACCCTTCATCTCTCTCTCCCTCCCTCTCTCTCGCTCGTTCCCTCCCTTCATCTCTCTGTCTCCCACCCTTCATCTCTCTCCCTCTCTTTCCCTCCATCTCTCTCTCAGGCTGAGGAGACTCCTCTTCATATAGCAGCACGGATCAAGGAAGGCGAGAAGGTGGCTGAGATGTTACTCAAGAGCGGAGCTGATGTCAATGCTACGATGACGGTAAGACTGGCAACTATTCTTCTATCTAAGTCATGTTTAAAATGGACCAGGGCATGTAACAAAAAAGCTTAGCAATTGATCATACGATTGATTTTTGCAATTGATCGTACGACATGTGCGTGTGGGCGGAGGGTGTGTGTGTGTGTGTATGAAACTCAATCTGGCATTTGGGTGGGGTGTGGGTGGGGTGTGTGGGTAGTTTTATCAAACATTTTTATTCAGTATGAAACTTATAAACACAATTGGTAAGAGTTATCCATACTTTTTGTTGGTGATCTCAGTGATCTGGCAATCGGGTGGGGTGTGGGTTGGGTGTGTGGGTGGTTTTACCATACAGTTGTATGTAGTATGATGAAACCTTTTAAACAAAATTGGTAAAAGTAATCTGTATTTAAAAACAAAAATATGATCTTTCATTTGGGTCAGCTATAATTTCTCCTGGCTTTATTTTCTTTCAAAGATGAAGAGTTAGGGTTTGGTGTAATGTTTGGTCCAGAGTTGGTTAGTGTCCCAGGAAACTTACTGCGGAGCAATTATCAATAGAGTAATTTTGTTGTAAAGTTTTGCTTGCTGTACTGTATATTAAACTATTCATGATGTATGAGCAACTTATGATAATTCATTGAATCAGTACAAAGTTTTAACAGTTATTAATATTAATATTTTGTTTTCAGAATGGAGAGACAGCAATGCATATAGCCTGTAGACATGGCCATATCAAAATGTTACAAGCATTACTAGAGGATGGTGCTGATACTGTGTGCTTGTCTAAGGTATGTTGCTGTTTTCATTTGGACTTTCTTCATTTAATATGCAGATATACAAACTCATCATTACATACTATTCTATATATGAAGAGTTTAATTCCAAAAGGAGCCATATCCACTTTTGATGAAAATTGAGTTATTGATATCAGAACATTGTTCACTTAAGTACCTGCCTTTCAAGAAAAGTATTTACCTAAATTTTGGGAGCGATCATGAAAAGATGCACCTTCTAATATCACGCTTCCATAGGTGCCTGTACAAAATCTGGTAAACAATTTTTTTTTCCTCTGAAGTTACAAAAATGGATTTAGCTCCTTTTGGAAATCTCTTCATATTTCTGATTTATGTTTCAGTCTGGTGAGAATTCAATCCATATAGCAGTCCGTCACTCTCACTATGCCATCGTCAAGCTCCTGATTGACTTCCTGCATAATGACATATCTAGACTGGATGCTATCATGGCCGTAAACGAACAGAGTGGGGTAAGCTTTCTCAAAAAAACGTTATTCTATTATCATAATGTGAAGGATTGATGAGGTACGTTTTGTGCTGCACAAAGATTCAATCAGTTAATTTTGGCCGTTACAAGTAGGGGGATATTGATGTAGACAAATGCTCATTTACCTGTTATAGCTCATTTTATGTATGTTATTACCAGAGAAAAAAGATGTCAGGCAGTCACTCAATAGTGTCTGACAGTGAAGTTCTAGAAGGTGAACAGGTTTCCTTGCATAATTTGAATACTAGATAACTGCTAATGTGTAAAATTTCACAGATAGGACATACATGACATATTCATAATTCTTGCAAAGTTCTACAGAATTTGATGTTGGCTGCAAAAGGGACATAGTATCTTTACCTTGTTTTGGAAATTGAATGTGTTTTTGTTTGTAATGCATCAATATACTTCTCTCAATTTTGTGTTTTTACATAAGATCTGTATGCTAGTATTATAAACTTTGCACAGAAAAGTTAGGTTTTGATTGTATGTGCAGTCAATAACAGTCAGTTAGCGTGTTCATGTCATCTCTCTCTCACTCTCTCTATCTCTCTCTCACTCACTCTCCCTCTCTTTCTCTTATTCTCTCTATAGGAAGGGGAAACCCCTCTTCATTACGCCGCTGAGATCACCCAGGAGATGATCCACTATCCTGGTGAAGATGCTGATATTATGAAACTTCTTCTTGATTATGAGTCTGACATCAATATCATCACCAAACTGGTAAGTACTCCATCCACACTCCTTTCTCAATGACTGTATTACACCACATATCCCAACAAGACATCAAGAATTAGTACAACCTAGACTTTGTTTCGAGTTTCTATCTAGATTTTTAAAAATTTTGTTTTAAAGTGTCTCGGTAACATTGTGCTAACCCTCTAAAGTGCAAAAAATCCTGATTTTTTTTTCTTCTTCAAACCACAAAGATATCTATGGTTTCTTGAAGGTGTCACTGTGTGCCACTCTCTAACAGTAAATTCTCCCCAACCAACTTTTGAATTTTCCCAACCGCTTTCCCATGAAAATAAGACTTAAAATTCTTTTGAAAATATTGTAACACTAGCATCTAGCATTGAAGTCACTACCTTAGCATCATTTTCTCTCATCTTAACAATGTTACCAAGTCCCTTTAATGTTATTAGAATGTTAGATGATTAGAAACGATCAGGTAGGGAATGGATGGGCATGCTTTCAATTAATAGTTATCCCTGATGGTCTACAGCTGCAAAGAAATGTGTAACTTTCAGTCGCTACATTATCTATTCCTGCAAAAATCTATATGAACTGTTAACTTAATGAGGAATAACTGAATATCAAAATGCATTTCATGTTAACTACAGCAGAATGCAGCATTTAATATTGTTATATATGTTATATTTATTGTTCCCTTCACTAGACCCATGAGACACCATTGCATTACTGCGCCCGAGCCGGTAATGCAAACATCTTACAAACAATGGTGGATCATCTAGGTCCAAACATGACCCAGCTAGCTGTTAATAAACAAAGCAAGGTAAGAGGACAACACTGTTTGTGATGATATGGTGATGATAAGGGTTTGACCTGATGGTGATGATGAAGGCGATGATGAAGGCGATGATGATGGTGATAGAGGGGATAATGATGGTGATGATGATAATGATGGTAATAATGATGTGGAGATTTTTGTTCAGCTTAGAGTTTAAATATCTTACTGAAGATGTTGGAACATCTTGGATGAAACATGCCTCAACTTCTTTAAGCTAATAGGCAATCAAAGTAGGAGAAAGCACTCTGTCTAGACGGGTTGTCAGGGTGATAAGTTTTTACTTGATACTGGTACTGATGAAATCTATGATGATGATGATTGTGATGAAAATGATGATGATAATGATGAAGTTGGTGAGGATGAAGAAAACGTTGAAGAGGAGGAGGAGGAGGAGGAGGAGGGGGGGGGGGGGTATTATAAATCGCTTATGTGTAATATGTGTGTCTTTAATTATATTTTGTAAATTTACATTTTTTTTGTCTTCCCTTGTAGAATGGTTGGTCACCCTTACTTGTAGCTGCTGAAGAGGGCCATGAAGAGAGTGTAAGGATACTATTACAGCAGAATGCTAGGGTAGATGTCTTTGATGAGGTAAGAATCACTTTCACAATGTCATTTAGTTGATTTAGGAGAGAGAAAGTTAAACTGTTAAGAAGTACTGATACCATACAAGTTTATCAAGATATGTCACTTAGACATGTGATTTGGTATAAATGTTGAGGCCCCCTTTTACAAAGAGTTGATATCGATAGCAACTATGTACATAAGAGATAGGAGACTGCAAACTTGCGATTGATTGGAGGACTTACAATTGATTTGGAGCAATCGCAACTCTTTGTAAGAAGGGGCCCAAAAATGATAATAATAATAATGACATGTTTTGTTTACCAATAGTAGCCTCATCAGTATTAATAATTTCCTCCCTGTGGGCCATGCGATCATTTCATCACCCTGGTTATAGCCAAGCTAGTATGATATTAATAATTATTTAAGGAATTTCTTCCTTGCCAAAGGACATTAGTACTGCAGCAGGATTTGAACTCAAAACCATGTGTTTTTCAGGCCAGCAATGTTTCCACTAGACCACAATACCTCCACACATAGCACATATCCCTACCTTAATGTTTGAACATCTTCATTAATTTTTTCTAATAAATAAGATGTCATAAAGGTGACTCGTGTCAAAATGTTGACAAAATTACGGTTATACAGTCAAACCTGCTTTATAGTGATTACCTGTCTACAATGACCACCTGTCTACAAAGATCACATTTTTTGTTTCCCTTGAAAACGGTTTCTCATTGAAACATGTACTAAAGGAACCTGTCTACAAAGACCACATTTTGGTTTCCCTTGGGCGGTCGCTATAGACAGGTTTGACTGTAAAATGAATTTTTCCAGGATCAAAATTGTCGCACCATCAGTCCTATAGGGTTATAACGCCAAGGCCGTATCCTAGCTGTGTCCTTAACAGTACCGGGCTTGTGTAGTGACTTGTGAAGGAGAAGAAGAAGAGTCCTATATGCCGAATTGCTGTTTGAAGTTCCCACTGGATTGGCAGTACTATATATTGGAAGTATAAATATATATCAATTTTTTGAGTAATTGATACATTGCCACTACCCCACCCTCTTGCACGTCTGATGCCTATTATCTTACTGTTTACAGCATGGTAAGGCAGCACTCCACCTAGCAGCCGAGAACGGTCACCTAACGGTAGCAGATATCATGCTCTGGCATAAAGCATTCGTCAATGCCAAGTCAAAGATAGGAGTGACACCCCTCCATCTAGCGGCACAGAGCGGTCATAATGATTTGGTCAATCTTCTCATACATAGCCATGGGGCTGCTATTGATGCTTTATCATTGGTAAGTTTTTATCTACTGATATTATACTCTATCTAGAGAATTATCTAGTCAGAGATAGGAGTGCCACCCCTGTATGTAACTACCCAGAATACACCCTTTCACGGTTACAAGAGTGTGCATGCGCTGACATTAATTTCGAGTAAACATACTCATAATTTAAAATGGAGCCCATGTCAATATGATGTGAGCGCACAGCACAGGCAGTGACGCAATAATACACGCCCATCTGAAAACATTGATGACGCAACGTTTATCGAAAATTAAAATGCCGGCCTTAACCATGAAAGGGTGTATTTTCATGATGACAGGTTCCCACCAATTCTGCATATCAGGAAAAATCTGAAAAAACAAGCTTCATTTTTTTGCAATCGGTGAAGAGTGAGGGAATTCAAGACATAATCCCCTACCTCAGGAAAAATCAGTGTTCAGTTTCTTATATTTTGTCTAATGTCCACATACAGAATTTGTATGTGAGAAGATGTTTTTAAGATATTACAAACTGAAAATAAGTTGAAATACTGATCCTAGAATTTTGAAATTCCATCATGAAAACATTGAGGGATTTGTTTCCTGAAATGCTGGGAACACCAATGCATCTCCATCATTCTTTTCATATATTTCTCATTTCATCATAAATTCTTTCTTTCGGACAGGCCAAGAGAACGGCTCTTCATCTTGCGGCTCAGAACGGTAAACTTATAGTGTGTGAGACTCTGCTCAAGCTCAAATCTGACTCAAATGCTGCGGATATAGTAAGTATTTCATTGTTCTTCATAATCCTAGTTAATATTTGAAAAAATAATTCATTGCAGTTGAATAAATATGAAAATATATGAGATAATTAAGGCAAATATTATTGAGTTTTCATGGTGGTTAATATCTTAGCAGTTTGGTGATAAGAAGTATGAGTATGATGTATGTATGATAGTTACGCATATGTGTGTTTGGCAGTTTTAGATTATGAAAATAAGGTAGATTGTTAAAGTGATTTACCAGATAAATCTAAATTATAGATTTAGGCAAATATCCAGATAGGTATTTAAATGACAGAGTACAAGAGTCGGGAATATAACTCTTTTGTATTGAACAGTAGACTCAATTAGAATGTTTAATCCATTTTCTACAGGCCTAGAACAGCATAATACATTGCATAATTTTTTTATTATTGAAAGGAGACGATGAATGCAGACTGAAAAACTCATCTAATTTACATCCAGTATTCTCCAAAGCTTAGTGCATGTTAATGAAGTATATCCATAATACATTTTCGTACATTTCAAAATCACCATTCATTTGCAGTGTATTTATACAGCTATTACACCATACAGAACTCAATATACATTGCAGCATTCCACTTGCACTAACCATTCATTTGTTTTGCTATGTTTTCATCTTGAAATACCAGATCAAAATAGATGATATTGTAAGTTGAGATGATGAACTGTATGTATATGTATGTCTGTATTTCATTCATATGTGCTTCATACAACTGTTTCCAATCATGATAATTATTGTTTCATCATCCAATCTGTACTCATCTAAAGATCAAACAAATTTTTGGTACGGGGTCATTAATTTGGTTCAAATGATCTTGTTGGAAGAGCAAACTTACATTAGTATAAGAATGATAAATTAGCAATAATTTGAAACTTACCAATTTACTAAAGAAGAGAGAGAGAAAAGGAAGAGAGAGAGAGAGAGAGATAAAAGGAAGAGAGAGAGAGATAGAGAGAGAGAGAGGAGGGGGGGGGGGAACGAGTGAGTGATAGAGAGAGAAAGTAAACTTGTGATAGGCAAGAATTTAGTAGCCGTGTACCATGTAATTTTAATAGCTATGACAGTAACTACCATAGAAGGCTGGCATGAAATAAGACTTTGTTCAAGTAAATAAATCATTATTCTCCTGTCTGTCATGTCTTTAATATTCAGAGAACATTTATGTTCCTTTCATCAAACCATGCATCCATTATCTTTCATTTATCATATTGCATGGACATTTGCTCATCAAAAATTTATTTTTTATACTTTAGTAATCATTGTGATTTTGTGGAGATGGTACCTTGCTTGGGAAAGAATGTACTCTTAAATGATTCTGATGATGACATTTTTATTTCAGTTCATATTTTTCTATCAATGATTTAAGTGTAATGACTGGAAATATTGTCCCGTTGTAATTCCAGTGGGCATGCTTCGTTCAATAACTATAAACCATACAATGGGTACACTTGTAATTGCTTTTTTCTTCATGTGTGTTGGTTATTATTATATTTCTTCTCTTTTGTAATTATCGTAGACCACATATATGTGGTTTATCAAATGTCATATTTGTTATACATGTATATATTCAATTAATAAAAAAATCCAATGTTAGCTCCCCCCCCCCCACAAAGAATCGCTACTATTACTTTTTATGTATTACATGTGGAAAATAAAATAAAGGAAGTTGTAAGAGCAATGTGAAGTATCAACAAGAAGTTTTGTCAGGCTTTAAAAATTATGTAAAAAAGGTTCCTATTTATCAAATTCTTCATGATTAATCACTATGAGGACTCTGTAATATCTCAGTGTGATATTTTAGATATGCTATTGCATTAATAATTATATTTGCTTATATAGCGCCTAACACTTACTTTATCAGAAGTCTCTAAGCGCTCTACAATAATGCAGCATAATTACCCTGGCTTTAACAGTGCAGCTGTTACGCGCGCTGCATTTCAAGGAATAAATTCCTACCAGGTACCCATTTACTTCACTATTTACTTCAGTTGCATTGCAACTGCTTTTGTTTCTGTTACTTTACAGGTACTGTATATGAATTTTTGGAAGATGATTAATAATTAGATATTATTACATTTGAATAGAGGCATCCAAATGATTAATTTTAAGATACTGTATACATATTTCTGGAAGGTGGTTAATAATCAGATATTACATTTGAATAGAGGCATCCAAATGATTGTTTGAAACATTGTTTGATTAAAGAAACCTTTTCAGTTCAAATGAAATGTTTCCTTTGCTAAAAGTGAACAATTTCCAGTTTTAATTTGGTAATGTTATATTTTTTAACAGCATGGGCAGACACCACTCCATCTAGCAGCAGAGAATGATCATGCTGATATCGTCAAACTGTTCCTTAAACACAAATCGGAACTCGTCTCCATGGCAAATTCTGTAAGTGTACTGAGATTCTTATCATTGAAATAGTAGGCTATCTCTTTTCCTATGTGCTTTACCAGTATTGCCCTTGTATTTCTTTTTTTCTCCTTCTGCCTATTAATTCTAGTATTTTTTATGTTAATGTTATCCATTTTCTTCTAAATTCTCTTTTAAAATTCTCTTTATTGGGTTTTCTATTCTCATTCAACTGTTTTTTGTTCTTGTTTTCTATCCTGTTTCCCCTCGCATTGTTTATATTCTCCCATAGAGGGCCAAAGAAGGCAATATGCACTGCCATATATTATACATATTAGATAACAAACTGTAATGGCATTTGATGTATTTCAGAGGTTGCTAGTAATCTTGTGGTTTCTTTTTTATTCAAGGCCCCCCCCCCACTCAGTGTTATTTAGGGTATAAGTATGTATGTTCCCTCCCTTTGAAAGCATCCCCCTAAGGCCGATGTGTAAAGTCAATATGGGCTGATTTTGTTTTGTATTACGAGCCAGACTTTGTTACATGAAAAGCACCCCTTTACCAGAGATTGTGGGAACATGAATGCGGTCCCTCCGTTCCCGAAGTTGGGGGGGGGGGGGAATCCAAGACCCTCCATGTTGTCTCTTTCCTTCCATATGCACATGTAACACACTGATCCTTCTTCAACCCTAACCATATGTCTTCCAATATGTTTGTGTTTGATGTATATACAGGAGGGTAATACTTGTGCTCATATAGCAGCATCCAAAGGTAGCGTTGCTGTCGTGAAGGAACTATTGAGGTTCAACAGGAGCGGTGTGTGTGCTACCAAGAACAAGGTAAGTCCAGTGTCTAATGGGGCAAGAAAGAAGGAATCAATTGCAAATCCCCCTAATCAAGCGTAAGTCTTGCGATTAAATTTGCATTACAAATCATATTAAATGTCCGAACATACATTTTGAGATACCAGTTAATTGAAATACAGAGCATTTGTAAACAGATAGGTATTTGCATGCAGTAACTCTGATATCCAGTCACTCAAGCAAAACGTAAATGATGTGTGAGCAAACTGTTGATCATATATGAGGTAGACAATGCATTTTTCAATATTTGGCAAATGGATTTTACATATTTTATACGCTTGTCATGGTCATCACTCTTTTTGCAAAGCTTCTGCTAAACTTTGGAACAAACTACCTTTAAATGTCAAAAACTGTCAAACTGTTAACCAATTCAAATCTTGTCTTAAGACATATTTATTCAAAATTGCTTTTGATGATTAACTTACTCTGTTCACATTGATATGTATTTCATATGTATTGTAATTTATTGTTTTTATTATTATTATTATTGTTGTAATAATCATAAATCAATGAATGTTCTTATTCCTCAGACTAATGACTCGACAGCCTTGCATCTAGCAGCAGGTGGAGGTCATAAGGAGGTTGTAAGGGTTCTCTTAGATCACGGAGCATCACCAACAGAGGAGAATGCTGTAAGTCTGTCTACAGTTCAGATTGTAAAAAAAATCATCTTATTCACACGTACACATGTATGTGACATGATAAATGTAACAGCATAAAGGTTGTGATGAATACTTCCATCTTGTATACATGTAAACATACATTGAAGAGGTGTCGTAGTCAAGTGGTCTAATCAGTTGGGAATGCAAAGGTTGTAGGTTCAATGCCTGGCATGGAAATTATGTCATTGAGCAAGGCATCTTATCTACATTGCTCCTCTCCACTCGGGTGTTAAATGGGTATCCAGTAGGATACAAACATCAGTTTGATTGGATTAGCATGTGTGCGCCTGTCAAACAGGCAGCTGCATGCAGTGGCTGAATTGCTACCCCAGGGAGAGGAGAGTGTGCACTTTAAAGTGCATGATCGTAACAGAATCCAATGACCTGGGTTATAACAATCTATATCATGCACTTCGGTCAGTTCATCATCATCTAGTGCCGTCCCTTCGGAAGGGGTTGGCGGCTTTGCACCCCCATCGCTTTCTGTCATGAACCCTTGTTTTAACCTCTCCGTAGTTAAGATCAGTCTATTTCTTGACATCATCAAACCAAGCGATTCGCTGTCTTCCACTTTCTTGTTTACCCTCTACCATTCCTTCCAGCAAGATCTTCTGCAATCCTCCCCTTGATCAGTTACATTATTATTATTACGTTTAAATGAAGTTCCAACCATAAAAAGTTACATATCTTACATCTTTCTTGATTTTTCTTATCTAGGATGGTATGACTGTGATTCACCTAGCAGCAAGGAATGGTCACGTAGGAATCTTAGAGGCTCTGAAGGGCAAAGTATCATGGAAGGCACCTAGCGTTGCAATTGGTCTAACAGCCCTTCACATAGCAGCTCATCACGGTCAGATAGACTTTGTACGAGAGATGCTCCTCAAGGTCCCTGCTACCATACGAAGTGAACCAGCCTCCGAACATTGCAGTATCAAGGAAATCTTTGCTCAAGACGTAAGTAAACTTTTAGCTGTATATAAATATCACTTAAGGGAAATAGCTAAGATGTTGTATACAGTGGCAGATCCAGGAAAAAAAATGTATAAACACATCATTTTTACCTTTTTGGGGAGCGGCCGGCGCGATTTGCAAATTTTTCGGGAGCAAAAAAAAATTAGTGCTTCATTCAATATAACATCACATCACAGACACTGATAACAAGTAGGGCCGTGCATCTCAGATTTAAATTTGTTGAACGATGCCTTTAATAAATAATATCATTCTTTTCTTTGCGATGTATTCATCTACAGCATGGTCTGACTCCTCTTCATCTAGCCTCTCACTCTGGTCATGAAGGATTAGTTCGCTTACTACTCAACTCTACAGGAGTGCAACCGGACGTCCCGACAGTATTACAGGTATGAGATCATTTCAGGTAGCTTTAAGTTAAAGATAAAGGTTAGTTCTGGTCATCTGATTGCATTGTGAAAGAAAAGGTGTGGAATGGATCAGAAAAAGTTGATAATGTAGCATGTAAGTATTGGTGTGTACTGCAAAGTTCTGGAGTGATCAAAATCATAATAAATTTGGCCCAGTCTTGGTAAAGTAACAAGCACTATACACAGACAGATGTATATGGGACTACACAAATGGTGTCGGGGGCTACTAACCTTGATTTCCTAATCTTTCTATGCTCATTACTCAGCCAGTATACATAAAAAAAAAAAATTGTTTGGCAAATTACATTTATTTGTTATCTTGAACATTGAGTGTAAGTTTCGTTTGTGAGAATTCATTTTCTTTTTTTTACCAGAACTCACCTTTATCTTTAAGTATAGTAGCACATGAAATTGTGTATTTAACATTAAATTATAAATTATAAATGTTGTTTTATTATTATTATTATTAAATGCGAAACAAGTAGAAATCACCTTTATTAGCTGGATCTCCTCAATGGTACATAAAATAATGTTTTTTAACCAATGAAAATCCCTAAAGTCCATTCAGCAATGCAAGTAGGAATCACTCTAATAGATAGTTTAGCAAAACTAGTGGCACATGAAAGCATAGTGTTTGAGAAAATATGGTTTTCTAACAGCAATCATTCAGTCACACCACCAAACTAACTTTATGCAAACTCCAAAGCAACTGTTTCTTGGCTATTTGAGGTAATGTAAGTTTTTGTCAGGTCTGTTATGGTGGTCTCGTTTGTGTGACTAGGATATTAAATCATTTACAATCCTTATTATTCCATTTTTTCTCTCTATAGGGTACCATACCTCTTCATCTTGCGGCCCAGAACGGTCACACTGCAGTGGTAGGTCTACTGCTCAGTAAATCAACCACTCAGCTACATGTCAAGGACAAGAGAGGGCGCACAGGTCTTCATCAAGCTGCGGCTAATGGTCACTATGACATGGTGGCACTCCTACTAGGTCAAGGGTCAGATATTAATATTTGTGACAAGGTGGGTATAATTGTCACCATTATAACACTTTTTATCCCCATCTTCAAAAATATGTCTTTTACAGTTCTTACAGGTGTTGTGGACTACATGGTGCAATATTTTAATCATTGTTATAACACTTTCATAAGAAATTCATTTAAAAATTTTACTTGGCTGAAATTAATGAGTAATTGATTGGGGGCAATCCTTTAAAGGGACTTGGTAACATTGTTCAGATGAGAGATAGTGGTGCTAAGGTAGTGACTTCAATGCTAGATGTACAAGTAAAGATAATCTGAAAATTTAAGTGAAAACGGACCATTATTTATGGTACAAATTGAGAAAAACTGGTCTGTTCGATTCCTTAATTCTCCCAACTATATTATTACAATTTAATTACATTTTAGGTGAATGGAAATCGTCACAAAGCAATAAAATGGCTCTACATTCCATTCCAGACATTTAAGTGTTGACAGATTTTTTATAGCCTGTTCTTTATGTCTTTTTTTCATGTAAAAACGGTTGGGAAAATTCAAAAATGGTTGGGAGAATTTACTGTTAATCACTGTTAGAGGGTGTCGTACATCGACGCCTTCAAAGAAATCCATAAATATCTTGGTGGTTTGAGATTTTTTTTAGCATTGTTTGCATGTCAGAGGGTTAGTACAGTAGAAGGAATATAGTAAGTAACATTTTGTACAAAAATTAAGCAATTTTTTCATGAACCTTCAACAATGTTACCAAGTCACTATTTTGGGGGATTAGACCCCCTGTGTGGTCACTGGCAGGTAGTTATCTCATCAAATCAGCTCTCAATGAACATAAGAAAAAGGGGACCATTGGCGATCAACGGGTTCCGCCATGGCATTTTGGGCTATATAGTGGGCGCAAGTAGCTACAAGTAGTGCAGACCCGCTTTAATGCTCAAGCAGCCTGTAATAATGAGCTTAGCTAAATCAGGGATATTATATAAAAGTATCAGCACTTCTTTCATCAGGGAAATATTCTGTATAAATTATTATTGTATTCAGGAATGCAATACTCATTTAAGCCATTGTAAATTCATGAAGTTATACATTTATTCTCCCATTGCATTTCTCTAAAGCATTAATGTGTTGTCTTTGTTAATTGTTTGTACAATAGAGAGAGACAGCTTTTCACTTACCAGGCGAAACAATAGATATCACAATATGTTGTTTTTTATTAAAACATAATTTCTAAACAATATTGATGTGTACTTATCAAGATTTGAGCCCTATTTTAAAACCATGATATCAATAACGGGTTACAGTATCTGTTATAAGTAGATTACTGAAGTTGTTGCATTTCAGTAGCTGTGAGAATATTTCATATAGAAATGTTTCACTTTTATAAAACAGGACCCAGGACTTCTCCCATGCTTGAATGTCAATATAAATGTTCACTATGGTTCTTGTTTTCAGAATGGGTGGACGGCTCTTCACTTTGCATCTAAGGCTGGATACCAAGATGTGGTGACTTTACTGGTAGAAAGTGGGGCTTCCCCTAAGTTTGAAACGAAGGATGGGAAAGTCCCTATCTGTTTCTCTGCGAGCTCCAACCATCATGGTGTCCTCAGCTTCCTGATGAAGAAAGATCACAATACAACACACCTTATGGATGATAAGAAGGTAGGTTGAAGTAACCCGTTGCCAACAGGAACCGGCTGGTCTCTGAATTAAGCCTATGGGGTAAAGAGATAATGAGAGAGTACTATAAAAGGGACATAATTATGTAGGAATAACTTGTTGTTCTTATGATCTTAGCTAGCTGATGAAGAAAGATTACCATACAATGCACCTTATGAATGAGAAGAAGGTAGGTTTTCCTTAGTTGTGATTGGCAAACATGATCTTAAAGGGAAATCTAACCTCGACGGCATATTATTCTAGAAGAAAGCAGAATCATCAGATAAGCTGACTCTTTAAAAATGAGAAAGTTGTGAACTTTTGAAAGCTGCAATCACTGTACGTATGGGTTCTTCAAGTTGGTTAAATTGCTAATGTGTCTGTGATGTAGTGTCAGACAAAAAGAAAGTATGACTTGGGATGATCTCTTCATTTCAGAGGACCTGTAAAATATTCTCTCAATGATAGATTTTGATTTGGGGAAAGATGAAGCAGACTTAAAGATAAAGACCAGTTATGGTCATGCGATTGCATTGTGAAAGAAACGTTGCAGAATCAATTAGGAAAGGTTGATCATCTAGCATATAAGTATTGGTGTATATCATCACGTATTAGTAAAAACACATTCTTTTACATGATTGGTAATAAGAGCTTCCATTTAATTTTTTGAGAGGGGGGGGGGGGGCGTTTCCAAAACTGGTCTATGCCTTTAAGTCTACAGGTTAGAAAAAGGATCATTTACATTTTGAGCAAAATCTGTTCATCTTTTGAAGTTAGATGTTGAGGTTTTTATGAGATATCTTATATTATATCCCACTGCTGCCACCATGTTGTGTTTTTACACAGAAGAGTCATTTTCATGTCACTCCTGGGGTCAGGTGGGGCAAGTAAAAATATATGTCCGACGTAGTAACACTTAATGTATGCACTTTGCATTCTGACTACCAGTAGTAAAGGCAAAATCACAATCACAATCATAGTAGGTAAATGTAATAGCTCATTGCTAAGTGAATATGTTTGATATTTCTTTTTTTTACTTGGTCTCTTCATTACACAACTGGAGACAAAATAAATGGAAATTTCATGACTTGTGCTTACTATCCCATTCCCACCAATGAGACACCCACAGCAGACCAAACATTACATTACCCCCTAATGGCCAAGGATTGGTCAGATTTTTTGTTTGGCAGTCAGACTGGGGTACTATTGTTCAACCTTTTCATTATTGCATTGCTCATCCAAGAAATATGCATGTGTGTTTATGAAAAATTGTTGTGTAAACTCATATTTGCATTATCACACTCTTATTAGCCTTTTTGTGAGTTTTTTATCAACTTGAACTTCTAATAGGCTAGAATTTCTCTTTGAAAACATGGCAATGCATAATCATGGATTTAAATTGTCAGTTTTATAATTTGAAATATACTAAGCTGTGACCATTAAACTGTTTCATTATATTTCTTTGACAGTTTGTGTTTGACCTGATGGTGTGTGGTAGATACAACAACAATGCCTCCGTCCGAGAGTTTGTTCTACGGTCACCAGCTCCCATCGACACAGCGGTCAAGCTGGCCAAGAACTTCAGACATCAATCTGTTAGGGAGAAAGAGAGGGCTAAAGAACTCTTAGAGGTCAGTTCCTTTTGTGAGACCATGGCTGTGGACCTTATCTCAATCACATCGAGTACCACTAGTCCTGGGGTGTTACTACGAGCTGTTGATGAAAGGAATATTCCATTCCTGGATGTCCTAATGGAATGTCAGCAGAAGGATGTTGTTGCTCATCCATCGGTCCAGAAGTACCTCTCCGATGTTTGGGTGGGTAATCTGAACTGGGCAAGCTGGAAGATTGTTCTTCTCTTCTTTTTCCTGGTCATCTTTCCTCCAATGTGGGTCTTCTTCTCTCTTCCCCTGAAGCACCGATTCAACAAGCTCCCCATTATCAAGTTCATGACGTACCTCGTCTCCCACATCTATCTCATTATTCTCCTCATCCTGACTACTGTCATTACACCGTTCATAGAGAAATTCATTGAAAACCCAAGTATGATACCAACCTGGTACGAATGGCTTCTTCTCCTGTGGCTATCAGGTTTGTTGGTTACAGAGATTACCAACCCTGGTGACAGACAAGGGCTTGGTTGGATACGTGTCATCATCCTGGCCTTTTCCTCAGTCGCATGCATGTTGCATCTGGTGGCTGTACCGTTTGATGACGACACCAAACGACTACTGGTCTACATCCGCAACCAGTTCTTTGCATGGTGTGTCCTCTTCTGCTTCGCCCACATCCTGGAGTTCTTGTCCTTCCATCACCTGTTTGGCCCCTGGGCGATCATCATCAGAGACCTCATCAAGGATCTTGTCAGGTTCATGGTGATCCTTCTCATCTTCTTGGTTGGTTTCATGCTCCACCTAGCAGCTGTCTACCAACCCGTCTACCCCAAGGCAGCAAACAGCACTGCTGCAGACAACATCATTCAGACACCCGCAGATACCTTTGCTATTCTCTTCTTCTCGCTCTTCGGGTTGGTCGAACCCGAGGCACTACCAGCCATTACTCGCCACCCAGATTTCACCTTGACTCTGATAAAGATTGTGTTTGGTACATACCTGATCGTGACTCTCATTGTTCTGATCAACCTTCTCATCGCTATGATGTCCGACACCTACCAGCGTATCCAGGCGCAGTCCGATAAGGAGTGGAAATATGGCAGAGCTCAGCTCATTAGGAAGATGAACAAGACCTCAGCCACGCCCTCTCCTCTCAACCTTTTCACCAAAATGTACTGGTATTTCAAGGCAGCAATTAAACATAAAGGTAGGTTGATCTTGCAGGAATTCACAACTAGACTATCGTTTGATTTCAGTCTCCTCTCAAACGACAATTTAATACTGTTACAGCTTGCCCCCCCCCCCAAAAAAAAAAAAATTAACCGGGATATGTCTTTAGTTGTGGACCTTTTGTTTCAATTCTTAAAACATATTTCTCTGTAGTCATTAATCTGCCAATAAGGCCTAAAAAAAGTATTGCCCCATGCCACTGACCCAAAAATCTTGAAATCTTTGGTTGGTTTTTCATTTTTAAAAGAATAAATGTATTTAAGAATTCAAAACTGAGAAATATCAGCCCAAAGAGGGAGTAAAAAATATTAAAAGTTTTAAAAAGAAAAGATTTCCAACCGACCGACCCATGTTTTGGCACCAAAAGGGCAATACAACATCTTTTTTGGGGGAATTTGGAATTATTCGTCATTACTGGCTGGCATGATCTTATGGTATGGCATTCATGTGGTCAGACCACACTTTATGCATTTGTGTGTGTATTGAAGAGGCAAATTTAATATATGTATAAAAAAATCAACAATATTATGAGACAATTAGAGCAATTAAGCACATCAGAGGTGGATACTGGCACTGTATCATCATGATGATCATCATATGTATAACTTCAGGGGGGTGTTTCAGAAATGCCGAAGTCAAACTTAACTCTAAGTTGGACTTAAAAATTATGGAGAGCCATTTGTAGCCTTAAAATAAAATATATTCAAAAGCAAAACTTTAAATATTTTAGACTTATCATAAATTCCACATCGAGAACATGAAATCTCCTTGATAGTAGAAAATATGAATGATTTGAATCAACATTTTATGCCATTTAAAATAACTTTTACAAAATATTTTCATAGATGCTAACAGCTTTCCATAATTGTAAAGTCCAGCTTAGAGATAAGTTCAACTAAGGATCTTTGTGAAACACCCCCCTGATATAGTAGATACTGTTCATCTTAGAACTCAGCAATGGATTCAATCCTCATTCCTGATTGTCTGTTATTATCTGTTAATCTTTTTCCAGGTAAAATCTGCAGCGCCCAAGCCAGAGATCTGATCAATGACGAGGAGGAGTTAGATGCACTCTCCGATGCAAAATCGGTAGACATGTTTGGGCAATCCTCAAATTGGCTACGGAATGTTGTCAGAAGGAATACTCAAGTTGCTCCTGAAGGTAAGTTCAGTCTCCAAACAATCAAATACAGGATTGAATAAAAACTCCAGGATCATGGGACGGTTTGCATATCAGTCAAGGTCAAACTCAAGCAAATGAATGTAGCACTACTCGCTTAGACTTGAGGTAAGGCAGTGCATTATGGGCCTATGGAATCTCAATAAAGCCTAGTTGGTTTAGTAGATGGTTATTCATGTCCTGTTTATGTAATAGAAATAATTTTTTATTCTGGCACACTTTCCAAATAGGCTGCAAGGTGTGATTTGATCATGATGCAAGCTAGTAGATGTGGCAGATGCAATATATTTATTGAAGGAAAGAATGATATCCCTATACTTACAAAGCACATATCACAAATATGTCCCAATGTCCAGTAATGAAGAGAAGGAAAACATAATAGTAGAGAAGAGTGAAATATGCTCAGCATACTTTCTTCAGTCATTAGTGAACATTTGAAATTGATTGCATAAACATACATTTTAAAGCGGGAATGCACTACTTGTAGCTACTTATGCCTCTATACAGCCAACAATGAATAAGCGTTACCCGTTTATCCCCCATGGGCCCCTTTTTCTTATGTCAATTGAGAGCTGATTTGATGAGATAACCACATGTCAGTGACCACACAGGGAGGTCTTATTCCTCTTGGCCAAACTAGTGCAGATAGGCTCTGACGTGTTTTGGAGTTTCACAATTCTCGATACATTCTGCCAATTTATTCCAAAACGTTGCTACTGATTAATGTGGTATAAACATTATTATTCTCATTTTATCTGGGTGTTTGAATCAGATGGTTATCTACGTCCGAACCAAACTGACGGTCCAGTGAGGATCGAGACCATCGTCGACTGGGACTCTGTGGTTCATCGCTATCTGGCCATCAAAGGTCAAGAAGAGGACATTGACCTTGGGATGACCTTTGATGATGACGAGAAGTCACATGGAGGTGAAGTAAAGGATCAGAATGGGCATACTCCTAAGACCAATGGCATCAAGAACAACCATGTGGTGTGAGTCGGCAAGACCCAGTCTGGGAATTTAACCTGTTGACTACTGAATTGCATAGATCTTATAGGCTTAATGCAGAGACCACCAGGTTCCCTTGAGCAAAGGGTTAAGACCAATGACACCAAGAAAAAAAAACATGGTGTTGGAGTCATCTTACATGTAGGTGTATTATCACGAGTGTGGAGATCAATAGCATCAAGAACAAGTTTGGTGTGTGAGTCACTCAGACCTAGACTAAGAGTCTCAAGACTAATGTTCTTTAATCATTTAACTTCAAAATGAAAAGGCCTTTTTTCTACAATCATATGCCAGTGACACAGATATATTACTAATAGGGCGCTTTCGCAAAAATGACGGAAGGCAAAGACGATGGTAATGCAATCAAAAAACAATCTGGGCATGCGTGAACCAAAATTTTCTCTGTCTTGTTGATTTTCATGACAGTACGCGGCCATGAAAGCTTTCGTTCCCTAAACACGACGGAAGAGCTGTATCGCCGTAAATCTCCTGTCGTCTTTGCTTCCGTTGTGTTTGCGAAAGCGCTCTATTACTTGATATCATCTGTTGGGAACTAGAAGGGACTCAACTCAATTCTAAAGTATACAGGTTCTTGCCTGTTTTGCTCCAAACAGAAGGTATGTTCAGAATATTCCCAGACCGTACAGAAGCTTCACTTATTCTGCAGAAGGGACCTTTCTTTCTTAAAAGAACTATGACAGAACATTATTTAGCTCATGAATATATTCATATGTTCTTGTTGTCCATTTACAAACTTTGACAGTAATTTATTTTAAGCTAGAATTACGACTGCAATATCACCTAATTGTGATGAGTTTTCAAGAATGTATACACCTTGATGCTTTTCTGCTTGTAAATGAACAAAATAATGAAAGGTTGAACAAGAGATTTGAACACACAGAACAATGACATTTGACAAGATGAACATGGGATACTTCTCCTATTCAGATCAATTGATTTTTATTATTCTCTTTATGGGGCTTGAAAATACTGCACTGAAAGACTGACATTGGAGATAGAAAAGGAGGGAAGGGCTTCACAAAGTGAGTTAAATTGGAAAGGAAGTAATATATCAGGTATTCAATAGCATACAAGGATGAATTGACTTTATGACAGTTGGTGTTTGCACCAAGTTGTGTATGACCAAATTATCATGAAGAGTTTGATGGAAGAAAAAGTATTTATGCAGGTAAATGGTATGATGTAGCTATATGATGCTTATTGATGTCAAATGTTATGCATTGTCTGTGAATATATTATAACGAATATGCATGATGTCACTTATGCAAATGTGTACCTATAATTATGCATTGGAGAAATATGCAGGATTCAATTATGATGTGCCATACATGTAAATGTAAAAAGGAAGGATATGCAATATTATTTTTGCAGCAGCAAAGTTTATATTTGTGCATATATCATTTGTATTACCATTGCATTTGTAGGAATAGGTTTTAAAAATGATATTATTATTTCGCTTTTATATCTACATATATATTATTCCCCAATGCTGCTTCTGTATAAGCTATATGTGGAAACAAAATGTGCTCTATTTTTATACTAGTTTTGTTAGCATAGATTAGGTATGGCTATATATCAGGAAGCCATTATAAATGGATTTTGCTATTACAGTATATTGTAGCGTATGTTCTGATTTAGGAGAAGTTGCAGAACGATATTTGTGGAACAAGGAATTATGTGAGCATTCTACTTATGTCGATTCTGCTAAACAGTGAAGTCTGTTAAACTATATTTGACAAAGGTCTACATGGTTGCGAAATCAGTTGTGAAATAAATACAGATGTAGTTGTTTGTAACAGTTATTCAATGAACTTTTTTTTGTTGTTAAATGATAATTTTTAGTGATATAAAAAATTAGATAATTACAAAAGAAAAATCATTTCACTTACATGACTTTAAGATTACAAGAGATTAATTTTTTCAGAATATTTTTTGGACATATCTTTAAGAAAGAGTCACATTAATTAAAGAACATAAGTGGGTATTTCAACTGTTGAATAGTATATTTCATTGTTTCAAAACTTTTTAAGGATGTTACAATTAACTATATGTATAACTAATGACTTTCAGATAAATGTAGTGAAAACAGTATTTTTTGTGTAATGATGTCAGCTTGATATGTTATTGAAAGAGCAATGACTCTGAGGTATCATTTATGTGTGCTTTGTAGAATAAAGGTGTATGCCTTCCTTTTCTTGCCTTATCAAGATATGTTGGTTCATGTTCTAATAATTGGCTTATGAAATTGTAAACTTTAAAGACCGTCTCCTGAAACTACAAAGTAATCTTCTTTTTGTAAAGTTTTTTAAAAATGGCTGAAAGCCCTACCAGAGTGTTAATTTCTAAGATAAAATATGAAGGTTAAAATCTCCTCCTTATTAAGAGACAGCAGGCACATGTGAAATGGACTGATTATGAAGACATAATTGAATATAATGTGAATTACGTTCAATGCATAGATTGTGAGTTCGTTCAAGTTTCAGTCTGTGTGTGGAAGCCTTGGTTTGAAGTTAAAGTTATTTATACAAACTTAAAAACAGTGTAATAGCCTTGTGTTAGTCCTATCGTCCCTACATGCAGTCACCTTGAGATTTTGTTATCATCTTTTCCATAATTGATGTATTCAGATGTCCAACCCTCTTATTGATGTTTCAACAAACATGTTTTTATGGTAGCACTCAATTTAAAATTACAGTTCTAACCTTCCATTGTTGAATGGAGTTTAAACGTCCACATTCTATATCATTGTATCTGCCTATAGGCGACAGAGAAAACTGAAGCTTCTATTTCTTACAATTCATAACAGGTTCTGAGTGGTGAACAAAGAAATCACAAACACTGTTTATATCCCGATAGACAATGAGAAAGAAATATTGTTTTTGAAAGCAATTATGGCACTGTAAAAATCAAGTAAAATTGGAAATAATGAGAAGTACATACAGTTCACATATTTATGTCACATTGTATTTTATGATGTTTGTATTTGTATAGGTGACTATTATGATATTGTGCTTGGCAATAAGAAATGTTAATAGCAGTATGCAGACAGGAAAGCATGTCCTATTTTTTTTAATTATCCACACAGGCACTTTAATGCTGGAAATTAGGGCCCTTTTCTTTTCCATTATATTCCCCTTTTGTTGATGTCCCTATTTTTGGCTTGATATCTTTCATATGTATTTATCAATTTAATCATTTATTTATTTATTTACTTATGTATTATTTGTTATCATCATTGTTTTAAATAAATATTCATTACATTATGAATATTATTATGATAATTACTTTTTTTTTGGGGGGGGGGGGGGGTTGGGGTGGGGTTCATGTTCAATGATGAAGTGATATACATAACCGAACTTATTCATTATCTATAAGGACATCATTTATCAGTCCCGTGGATGATCTGTACGCTTCCCAGCTTCGTATTTCAAACTTACCTAAATTGATTGATCTATTTCAGGTGAACTGATAAAAAAATTGTCTTGCCCCTACAATAATAATAATTTGTTTGCAGTACCATATATTGCTTGATTACTGTACTGCCATCTTGAATGAAGTAATATAGTTTTAGTGTAGATTCTATACTTATTATTTATTGCTTAGCAAAGTGAAGCTTTATATTTGTCAGAATACATGGCCAGTCTCACAAGACAAAGAGATCTTATGATCCTGCTACGATGATATTTCTCTTTCTTATCTATATTTTTTATGTTTACATGTTACATGTATGTATATTAAATACAAAGTAAATGGTTCAAAGTATAATGTCCTGTATTATTGCACTGTTTTTATTCTTTAGTCATTCAAACTGCTTCATGATCTCACTTGTGCCATTCAGCTAGCCATCAAGATTGGTGCTTATTCAGTTTAAACAAAGAAATGAACAGCGTGGAACACAGAATTCCTGGTAATAATTGATACTTTATTATTATTTATTATCACCCAATTATGACAGTAGAAGAGCAGTTCATTTAGATAGAATACACAAAATTTTCCTTAGAAGATAGAACAAGTAATGCAGAAAGAGAGACGGACAGACAAAGACAGAGAGCAAGGCAGAGAGCGAGAGAAAGAGAGAGAGAGAGAGAGAGAGAGAGAGAAAAAGAGAGAGAGAGAGAGAGAGAGAGAGAGTGATATAGAAAGAGAGAGAGAGAGACAGACAGACAGAGGCCGATCAAAGAAATAGAGGGAGGGGAATGGAGACAGAGGGAAGGAGAGAAAGAAATAGGAGGGAAATGCGAAATTTAAAAGTAATATTCATGATTGTCATTTAGTATAACTCGTTAGAATTCTAAAACTTCATCAAGACACGCATATCCTGCACCATTCTAGATTATTTTCATATTTTGATTCAGCCTATGTTCCCAATATACTCGCACCTTTTCCTGAATACATGCTTTTGATAAAATGTACAATTAATCTGAAAAAACAATAGTTATTTTTTCTTGATATTCCCTCGCTTGATATGTACATCTCAACCGGCCTGAAAATAAAACTGGTCAAAACCCTGGTTTGGAATGCTTTAGTTTATAGTGCTGAAAGCTGGACACTGCTCAAAGCCGATGAAAATCGCATCATGGCAGCAGAAATGTGGTTCTGGAGGAGAATGCTCAAAATCAGCTGGAAGGACAAAAGAACCAACCTCAGTGTCCTACATGAACCAAACACAGAAAGAGATCTCCTTGGAAAAGTGGCCCGCCTCAAGATGGGTTACTTTGGACACATTCTGCGTGGCAGTGGGAGCCCCTTAGCAGCACAAATAATAGAAAGCCAAGTAGAAGGAAAAGGAAAGAGAGGCAGACAGAGAAAGCAGTGGTTTGATAACATCAAAAAATGGACAGGTCTCACATACTCAGAAGCCAAAAGACTAGAACGCGATAGAAACAAATGGAGAAAGACAACAAGAAGATGTGCAGATGTGGTCGCCAATCGCCAGCAACTGACGGCGGCAACCAGCTGAACCAGCAGCTGATATGTACAGCAAACCTTTACGTAAAAATATTAAATGAAAGACTGAACATCATTATCATTCTCTGATAATTATGTAGAGTCAATTTTTATACACAAAATGCGGCACTATTGCAGCAAACATTTTTTATTTGCATTTATAACTCGGTCAAGAAGAGAATTAAAAGCAAAATAATGATAACATGGCTTTGGTGCTTAATGGGAGGGTTTACTTTAGAAAGATATATATCTCCCAGTTATGACTTATTATCGCCTTACCATACCCGCCCAGTAAACAAAATCACGTGAAAATCACGTCTGACATTTTTACCTCTGACATTTTTTCCTCTGACATTTTTACCTCTGACATTTTTACCTTTGACATTTTTTCCTCTGACATTTTTTTCCTCTGACATTTTTTCCTCTGACAATTTTACCTCTGACATTTTTACCTCTGACATTTTTTCCTCTGACATTTTTTCCTCTGACAATTTTTACCTGGCACCGGATTTACAGCTTAGATTAGTAAACCGTTTTAGCCACGTAATCATCACCAGGAAAGTTATGGTAACTTTGAAACCATTTAAAAAGATCTTTTTAGACACCTATAAATAATGTCTAATTGTTCACACCTAAAAAATAACGGATGCCCAGGTTATTAATAATCCGTTTGAGTCACGAGATCATCACCGCGGAACCTATGGCAACTTTGACTACCATTTAAAAAGGTGTTTTAAGACACCTAATAATAACTAATTTTACACACTTAAATATCACGGATTCACAGCTTAGATTAGTAATCAGTTTTAGCCACGTGATCATCACCAAGAAAGTTATGGTAACTTCGAAACCATTCAAAAGAGGTGTGTAAGACACCTCAAAATTACTAATGTAAATCAACCAGAGATTCACGGACAGAACAATAAGACGATTAGCCGGTGTACGTAACGTGATTATTACCATCAACCTTGGATAACCTGTGAAACCAATCGATAAAGGTGCTTAAAAGACCAAAGAATTAATTATTTATCACCACCATCGGTTAACGGATAAAAAACTCTTTGCTTGGTCAAGTGGTTATTTGGTCATAAACAGTTGATTTACAGAGGTAAGTGGAATCACGTTACTCCAGTCGCGTGATAAATTGGCGGTTTTTAGGTTAGATGAAAACGTGAACAGGAGTACCCTTTTTGTTAAAATGAAGGCACGTGTCGATAACGTTTAAATCTAGTCCAAAAAGCACCATACTTTCAAATCACTTAAAATACACTCCCAAAAGAAGTAATTTTTTAGTGTTCTGTTTATTGGGCGAGTATCAACTCTTCGTTTAGAGTTTAGAGAGAGCAGAAGAGCAGTTTAATAGATAGGATACATAAAAGTTTCCTTATCAGATAGAAGAAGCAATGAAGAAAGAGAGACAGACGGACAGAGACAGGGAGCAAAGCTGAGAGCGAGAGAAAGAGAGGTAGAGAGAGAGAGAGAGGTAGAGAGAGAGGTAGAGAGAGAGAGAGAGAGAGAGAGAATGGGGGGGGGGGGGGGAGGGGAGAACAATATTGCATGAAAATATCAATTCCCACTCAGCCAAAGAATCTTTCCTCCTCTTTCAGACCGGTAAGTGTATAGGTGTCTGATTTTTTTGTTGTTGTTAAAAAACAATCATCAAATCAAAAGAAAGTCAATAAACAAACAAATAAACAAACAAAAGGAACAAAAACGATGGGAAAATACGAAACCAAAAATGGGAGAGCACAGATAAACACAACTTGGTTAGACATTTTGGCCCGAATTCACAAAGGAGGCTTGTCGACAACCCTCCTTTGTGAATTCGGGCATGTTAATTTTAATGCAAACCAGGTGTTACACACTTAAATGTTATATTTCCAAGAGTTTCATCTGTAACAATCTGTTACTATAAGATCGTAAAAGTGGGCTGGTAAACTCTGAATCACGACATTTACCGACCGATTCTTAGTGATTTAGGCAGGGGTCATTGACCTTTGAGCTCTAATAAAAAAAAATATCCCCAACCTCGATCCCTACTTCCTTTTTTGTGTTAGTTGTCCGTACCCATACCTACCAAAATCAGTTGAAATTAGCTTCTTTTAATTTTTTTCACAGATTCGCTCAATATGTGGCTAATTTAGGGTTTACTATACCATCACCTGTACAAATAGATGTTATTCAGGTATAGTATACACCATTCCTGGTCACAGATAGAGGAGACAATACAACCCACTTAATGGTTACAATGTTAAATTTTGTTTAACTACGTCAGAATTGTTCCCACGATGGAGGTATTTGACTTCAGATCATGACAATAGTTATTCACTCATCTATGACATAGTTTTCTATACCTATTCAACGGTGTTGTTGATCGCTGCCCTGAACTTTTGCAGACTACATTTAAAGGACAATCCAACCTTAATAACAACTACTTTATAACAGAGCATTAACAACCGGAGAAGCATATCAGTGAAAGTTTAAATGAAATCGAACGAGACAGAATTTGATTTTTTGAAAGTTGTCATCACTATAACAATTGGCACTTCAAATTGGCTTGATCGGTTATATCACTGTGATTTAGTGCCATATCATTTTCATGTTTGTTTCAACACACAAAATAACTAAAATATCATTTTCTTTTGAACATGTTTAACTCTTGAGGGTCTTTTGTTTTGTGTGGACCTATGATCATATGTATGTAATATGCATGTTTATCAATTTCCATGTTCATGTTTGATCTGCTTAATGAAACGTTTCCTCAGTACTGTGACATTAAAGAGCATAGCTACTCCACAAGACAAAAAGAAGGTACGTCTTCCAAAATTTAGAACGACACAAGGTCAATATTCTTTGTCTTTTGTGTGCAGTAAATTTTAGAATAGATTTCTATATTAATATCAGACTAACAAGGTCTATCACAGGTGTTGCCTATCATTAGTTAATACAGACCTAAATTTGACCTTTATTGAATAGGGGCTCATTCCATTACGGTGTGGGAAAAAATAAAAGTAGGTTTGTATGTTATCAACTTTCCGATTATTAAATTAAACGCATATCAATTTATGCCTACATAAATGTGTTACCACTCTTTCAAATGAACATAAAAGTAGTAATGCTTATTCGAATATTGAATATTGCTCCTTCATATTATAAAAATAGAAACGCTTACTGTACAGGAATGGTACATTCTAAAAGCGGAAGTACTGTTAATTTAATCGAAACATGTTCGCTAACTGTTGCAGGTCGACAAATTATAAAACATCGTCATTCGATTGCTGATAATTACCGACTCTACTTGACATTTGCTCCTGTTAAAAATAGCACTGATGGTGAGTATTGAATGACCATTGATATATTTAGATAATGAAATGATTTTCATTTTTTCTGCAACTGATGAAAATGCACCACAGTGCGTACCACGAAAAAGGGTATACTTTGGTAGCTTATGATTAAAATGTCATCAAGTTCTGCTACTGATGAAAATGCACTACAGTGCGTACCACGAAAAAGGGTATACTTTGGTAGCTTATGATCAAAATGTAATAAAGTTCTGCAACGGATGAAAATGCACTACAGTGCGTACCAAAAAAAGTGTCCCCAATTTTGGTAGCTTATAATTAAAAGATCATAATGAATGTGACTCTATTTCGTGGTAAAGAGTTACCTGTTTCTATCCAATCATACCCTATTCACAATGTTTACTGCCAAATATGACTGGGCACCGAGATCATTCTAAAGTGCTGTCAAAATCTCGTACCAAGTTTGGTCTGAAGCACGGAAAGTGGGTCTGGCCATAATGCATGTCTTTAATACTGTTGCCTATAACCGTTTTAATAGTGAAATTCTTCTTAATGTTTCGGTGCTCCATTGTTTAAAGTGATCCAATGTATCTTCGCTTTCACAGGATCTGCACAGGATAAATCCACAGAATAACATTAAATCTTTCCAAACAGCCTGCTAACTTCATGAACCTCTTCTCTCTGTTCACTTGTCCAATGCAGCATATCATATGCATAAGGTGCGTAAGGTAAATAATGGTTTTGTCTACAACAGTGCATACAAACTGGAAAGGTTTAGTAGACCTTTTTTTATGAAGAATAGATCCCAAAATTAACATTGCCCATATTGAATGACTCATGAATAATAAGGCCTGTCTTACACAAAGGATGCGAGAGAAACCAAGTTTTTTTCCAGAATAACAAAAAGAAAATCATTAAACCTGCTTTAAATGAGCCCTTTTTTTTAGTCTGCGCTGACATTATTACCTTCTATATATTCAAATGTACAGATTCAATGTTTTCAGATGGGAATCTACCAAAATTGGATTTACCATTTTCGAAACGCACTATATATTGATCTTTTCTAGATATTAGTAAATACATGACCCGAGTTGAACAGAATTGAATGTTAATCTTAAAGATACATAAGTATCCTCGTCATGACAACTGTCCGGTTTCTGGAAAATAACAAGTTAAAGGTTGGCTGAAGGATTGTCACTCAAAATTACAGCCCTTTTGAAATGTGCCATTGTATTTTTTGTTATGACGTCCTTCTTATCAACGTTTCTGCCATGAGCTGATGTTTATTCATCGATATTTAAGAAAGAAAATACCACCTCGCGGATTATTCAATGCACATGATTGTATAATTGATTACAGCTAGTACCCACATAACTATGCACCCAGTACCTGAGGCTTTCTACAGTACCTGAAGTATTGGTAGGTTTAATCGACTACAGGTTCAATCACTTGAATCTCAATCCAAGAGTTGTGGGTTCGAATCCCTGCCCGGAACTAATGTCCTTTGGCAAGACATTAATCCACATTTACCACTCTCCACCTAGGTGTACATGGATACATGGCAATTGGTGAGGTAATGCTTATTGCAGGTCCCTCAGGAAGAACAACATTGAAGAGAATTTCCGGGGTAAACAATTTCATTATTTTAATGAATTATATTGATTGTATTCTTAATGTATCTTTTTGTTAATTTTTACAGATTAGGTGAACTTAGAAGCCTGCAGTGCCGTAAATCTCTACAGGCATGGCTTGGAAAGGTTTGGAAGCGTTATTGCTCTTTCTGGTCCTCATATCATGCCAGACTTGGTCCATCCAATCAGCTCCTCTCTCCTCCTACCTGGTATCATCCTTTACCCCTCCTGACTCTGAATCCACCCTACCATTCAACCACATCGCCATCAACAACATCACTGGAGATGTCTATATTGGAGCACGGGAGAGGCTGTACCAACTCGACTCGAAACTAAATCTCAAGCACACGGTCGATACTGGACTCTGCCCCTCGCCAAATGATGAGAATGTCAATGATAATAAACTCCTTGCCGTCGTGATAACACCAAAGAACTATTTGCTCATCACTTGTGGTGGTTGTGATGGTTACTGTGAATCAAGGAGCCTGACTAATATATCACATGATGTTATAAGATATGATTTAGCCAATAGTCAGAGTGTTATAACAACAGATGATGTTCCTACTGTCGGAGCTGTTGTTGTTGGTGCTGACTTTGTAGATAATGCTGAGGGTACTCCAAATGAAAAATTTTACCTATTCACAGGGGTCAGTGGTGGCGGAATTTCCTTTATTGCAAAGCACAATCTTGTAAACCTGAGGATAGGTCAAAACATACCAAGGGGGTTTGTCAAATCGGAGGGTTTATTCAAACACTTAGTTGTTTACAAGGATTATCTGTACTATTTCATATCTAGAGAAAACAATGTGTACTTAGGACGTCTGTGTCGTAATTCATTAGATATAAATTTCGCGTCTTACACAGAGACAGAGCTACAGTGTGGGTCTTACAATATGATCCAATCTGCTCATATCGGACCTGCAGGATCCCAGCTAGCTGACTCATTGAATATCGACAGCACTGATGCCTTATTGTACACGGTATTTTCAAATGAAAGCTCAACTTTCCTCTGTGTCTATAAGATGAGTGATGTCCAGCAGAGCTTTCACGTTGCTGTCTTAGGATGTATCCAAGGAACTAGCACTGGTACAACGAACAGTTACCTAGATGACAGCAGGTGTCGTGAATCTCCAGTAAGTCAATATAAAAATAATTAACATAAATATTAAAGTAATAATGTGTCAGTTTTTCTTACCTAATCTAACAGAAGTAATCTTACAGTATTATCCGCAAATGTACCATGGATGTTGTAAACGTTTGTTGTGAAATCGATTTGCAATAGAGTTCTCATAAAAATGAAGAAAAAAAAAATCACAGTAAGCGGCCTTGCAAAATTGATCATTCATGGAGGAATCCATGGGGAAAGGCATCGAGGCTGAATAGTGCATTTCGGCGTATCAATGCATGGGTGCAATGCTTGGTAATAATAGTTACCTTTCAAAAAAACTTTCTGAGTCTGCGTCATTGTTTGATACAGAAATCTACGTGGGGACTATGGATGCAGGGGCGGATCTAGCTTTTTGTTATTATTATTATTATTATTATTGCTAGGGGGTTGACCCAATCGACAGCTTTGACTGCAACGTGTGACGTCATTTTAAGGCACTGCGCGTGCGTCACGTCGTCTCAGTCGGCGATCAAGAATGCGTCAACCTTGATTTTCCTAAATCTAGTACGGTACTAGTATATGCCGCGTGCGCATAAAATATACAGTTCCTCAGGTAGACAAAGGAACATCCCTTCCCTGCTATTATGTAAAAATGTGTAGAACAGGTGTCACATGCATATTCACCTGTTCTACACATTTGTACACAATAGCAGTGTCTACCACAGCAATTGTTAAGGGTAGAATGAGGAACTGTATATTTTGTCCTCTTTCTTTGTCCGTCATGTTCATGTTACTTCCTGCATGCATGTATATCGTCGAGTGCAATCTAAACGATTTCTAATTGTAGTCAACATGGGCAGTTGAGTACGTTGACACGCATGATCAGTCGGCGTTCGTCGTGTTCTCGTCCACTTAATCTAAAAGTCCCTAATGCAGAGCATCGTCCATAAGCCGCATAGCGGAGAGGCGATTTTTTTTTGTTTGTTGCTATTTTGAACCCCCGTAAATGATGTTTTCCTGGCATCTACTTACATCTATTAATACTGTGTGAGTCTGGACACATGATGACGTTTTTCTATGCACATCACATTTTCACTTGGCGGCCCTGGGGGGGGGGGGGAGGGTGGGAGGGTGGGAGGGTTAAACGTCCTACCAACTCCCCCCCCCCCGTAGATCCGCCACTGCGATGTCTTCCGCTTTTTGCGTTTAAACAAGTTAGTCATATTATTACAATGTATTTTGGCTTATACAGTAGGCTTGCGGATGCACCATGTGATAGAGAGAGGGAGGATTGAGGAGTTCTGAAAAGGACTCTCGGTAATCTTTCTTGAGGGTGTGTAGTCCTGAAAAGGACTGTTGGTGTAGTCTTGAAAAAGACTGTTGGTGTGGTCTTGAAAAAGACTGTTGGTTATCTTTCTTAGCTTATAGTTCTAAGAAAAACTATAGCGCTTGGAGAGGATGAGTGGCGGTCGTCGTCAGGAGTGGAGATTAGGGACTTTTAGATTGAGATGACGAGAACATGACGAACGCCGACTGATCATGCGTGTCAACGTACTTAACTGCCCATGTTGACTACAATTATAAATCTTTTAGATTGCACTCGGCGATATACATGCATGCATGAAGTAACACTATGAATATGACGGACAAAGAAAGAGGACAAAATATACAGTTCCTCATACTACCCTCAACAATAGGTCAGTTTCGTAATGTAACCAAACTTTGTGAAGTGCCTCAATACAAAAAAATTATTTCATTCACCTGATAGGAACAATAGTATTTCAATAGTCAGAATGCAACTGCATATATTAAGTTTTGCTAGGTAGGTCAAGCCATATGACGCGTTTTGACGCGTTTTTTTTACAAACCTGGTTTGTAAATAACAAAAGGAGGTTTGTCAAAACAAAAGGAGGTGTGTTGACAAACCTCCTTTGTGAATTCGGGCCATATGTTTGTCCAACCTGGCAACAACTAATGTATGCAGTTCGGATTCTGTCCATTGAAATACTATAATTCTTATCAGGTGAATAAAATAATTTGAATTGAGGCACTTTACACAGACTTATGCATCACATTTCGTTACATTACGAAAATGGTCTATTGCTGTGGTAGAACGTCCCTTCACAATATGTAAAAATGTGTAGAACAGGTGAGTATGCATGTGACACCTGTTCTACACATTTTTACATTCTAGCAGGGAAGGGATGTTCCATTGTCTACCTGAGGAACTGTATATTTTATGCGCACGCGGCATATACTAGTACCGTACTAGATTTAGGAAAATCAAGGTTGACGCATTCTCGATCGCTGACTGACGACGTGACGCATGCGTAGTGCCTTAAAATGATATCACACGTTGCAGTCAAAGCTGTCGACGTGCAAATCTAAAAGTCCCTAATAGCTGGCGTACGTGAGCTTATGTCACCGGGGTGCGGACGTCGGTGAAATATACATGACCGTGTGGGCTTGAGTCATCGGGGAGTGGACATGGATGGTTTGGTCGTCTGTCTGCCTGTCCATCTGGGCTGGAGTCTCGATACGCCGGCGGGACGCTGTGTGTGTCCCCGACGTAGGCGGCGTTGTAGTCTGCTGTCGTCTGCTGTGCATTATAGCTGTGAGGCTAGCGGCTGCTTTGAGGGTTCGGCGGGTGGCGGTGGTTGATGTACAGGTGTCTTCGGGCTTGGTGCAGGCGGTGGTGGAGGAGGAGTGACCGGGTACTTGTTGATGGGGGGGTTTACAGATGTCGTTGATGTATAATCCTGAGTCTTGGGGCACGGTGTTGTGGCGGTGAATTTCGATGGCTTCTTTGATTCGGCGTGTATGCCAGTGCTTCATTATGGAGATGAGATAATTGTTATCCCATTCGATGGTGTGTTCGTTTCGCTGATTTTGAAGCTGGTTCTGTGCTCCTTGAGTCTTTTTTTTCCAGATTTCTCCCCGTTTCACCAATGTAGACTTTTCCACATTCGCATGATATTTTGTAAACTCCAGCTTTCTTATGGTTTGGATGCTTGTATTTGTGGGAGTGGAGTATCGAATGGAGTTTGTTGGAGGAACTGTGTCGAAGTTGGATGTCTGCTGCTTGAAGGATACGTTGAATCTTGTGAGAGGCTTGACCGATATAGGAAAGAACAACAGTTTGTTTTGGTGGTGTAGCTGCGGGTTGGTTCTCTTCAGGGATGGTGTTTTTTGGCTTGCATTCGCAAATGTACATTGGCGTTTTTCCCCGCTTTCATTTCGTCAGGTTCAGTCTGATGTGTTAAATTGTACAATCAGTAGAACAGTAACCCTCACCCATCATCACCATTCTAAATGTGATATCCATCATACCACAGACATAGACATTACGCAATAACATTCATGTTACATATGCAGGGGCTGAATAGATTCGTGTTTCTTGTAAAATGTGATAACTCCTTTTCTTTTTCTTTCCTGACAGCTTTCGTTCACGCCACCAGACTCGGTCCAATGTACTGCCTTTTATTTAGAAGATGGTAGCCCGCCGTTTATCCATAGATACGCCAGTGGAACGGTTCCCCTCTCTACCTCACCCATCATCACCATTCCTGATGTGATACCCACCTCCATAGTGACAACCATAGAGAGACATCATACAGTGGCATTCATCGGAGATACACAGGGATACCTCCATAAGGTTTCGACCTTCACAATATAAATAGATCATTAACCCTAAAAAGGCCGGGCTATTTGAGGTCTTAGTATGGCCGGGGGGGGGGGGGGGCATTATGGCCCCCCCTTAAGATCTCGGCCGCGAAAATTTGCACGCATGTCAAGTGAAGTGTATAGAATAATATGATAATTTCAATTTCTTGAAAAATTCATTCATTTGCATATTTATGGTAATTTATGCAAATAAAGTCATAAAAATCACATTTTTATCCATAAATCATATATTATTCATATTTAAGCATTCTTTTTCACTACATATATTCATTAGACCATTCTGAATAATAATACGACAAAAAAAATTGGAAGAGCCAGCGTATTCCTTATGTTATCCCTTGTTTTTGTAATTTCTTATGTATTTCATTGTTTTTTAAACTTATGTATTTCATTGTTTTTTTTTTCTTTTCATTTCTTACTACAATTCAACTATTTTGACTCCAAAAACAACCACCTAAACTTTAAACAAGACCCAATAACCCATGTTTGATCTGTTTTTAGGAAAAATGACTTTTCCATATGTTTTGTACACAAATCACGAAAATGATCGATTTTCGGGCTAACATGCAAAGACAAAAGGTCACGTGACCTTGTAACCGCAGGTCCGATTTTCAAAAAAAATCTTTTAAAAGTTGCGCAAGACTCGAAAGAAAAAAGTCAGCGAGCGGCGGGGCGCCATCCGTATGCGTTCCCGAGCAATCGGAAAAATCGTGGAGGGGGGGGGGGGGCATAATGGCCCCCCGGCCTTATTAGGGTTAAGAGAAATGTACCTGCCTATATTGTACGATGCCATGATAAATCGATGGACAGGATTGTAAACAACTAACTCTTTTTGTTGGAAACAATACATTTTATGTCTCCACCAGATAAGTTTCAATACATTTACCCAGTCTACAGTGTACCTTTATTAAGTATAAAGTATGAATTTTTTTTTTACAAGATAGATGTCTTAAGTATGTTTGTCATACAAACGATTTATCGGCGATACAAATTTACATAAAATGATAAACATAATTTCAGCAAAATATGATTTTGATTTTTTCAATGGCAAAACAAAATTATTAAAAACATTAAGTCAGAATTTAAACAAATAAATATTGATATTTCATTTGAGTACTGATCGATTATATGCCTGATTACATGAAGATTTCCATGGTACATCGCTATGTTGAAAGTATTTGAATTACTTTAGGCCCTCCCTCAGTCATAATTCTAAATAATTCAATGATGTTTCAATTGTAGATGACTAGGTGAGGGTAATTTACTCGTATAAATGAAGCCTCAATATTCAAATTCTATTTCTCTAAAAATTACTAGGCCTACATTTTTACGATGTGAAATAGGTGAGCTTATTCATTTAACTACTGCCTTCCTGGTAGTAGACTGTTCTTTTGTTTAATACCCTGAACATTTCAATTGCATATTAGGAACAAAATAAAAACAACCAGACCTTATTTTGCTTGTCATTTCACTAAATAGTTGAACATAGTCAACGGTTCATTTGGCTACGTATATGAAGATGTCTTCGTTGGAGGTGGATCTGTCTTACAAGAGATATTTCTTGATGAATCGAAAGAGCGGCTTACCCTTGCTACAAGTTCAGACCAAGGTTCACAGGTAAGATTCTTCAGAAAGATATGACCTATATTTTGGCTATGAAAGGGTATAACTCCACAGCTAATATCACAATCCATATGACTTCTTTAGTTTTTGCTTTAGATTTCTATTTCATTTTCATATTAAAAATCAGGTTCTCACGTTAGAGTTAGTCAACTGTAGCCAGTACCAGAGCTGTGTTGAATGCATTGGCGAGGATGGAGGAAATGATGGAGACCCTTACTGTGGATGGTGTACTCTAGAGGCGAGGTGAGTGCACTGCATAGGACAATGATGACTTATTTTCTGTTCTCTTTCCCCCATTAACTTGAGTTAAGGAGATTTTAAATATGTTCTGTTGAGTAAACTTCCACAGAGCAAGAGGATGAGGGATCCCTGGCGTTGTCATCTCTTAGAGGAAACAACTAATTCTGGATTCACTTTTGCTATGTTTATATTTTGTTAATTTTGTACTTATTACGTGTACACAAACAAATTATCAGATCATCTTTATTTCTATTTATCATATTCATCCTTCCCACACACTCTCCCCTTCAAGATGTACAAGATACGAGGAATGTCCTTTCCCTGACGAGTCAACTCGATGGTTATCTTACAATGCCTTCCAGTGTGTATTCCTCTCAGATGTCCAGCCTGATCATAGACTGCCTTACCAAGAGACAGAACAAGAAGTAGGTGCTCTCGGGACTTCCTGTCTATCAAAAAAAAAAATTGTGGACCGCTGAATATGAACATTTTCAATAACGATATAACCAAAACTACAGACTAGGCTAAAACTAGGCGTCAATTTTATCTTTGAAGCTTTAAGTATTAATTCCCCAAAACAATCATATACCATCCAAATTAATTGTAGCCAGTTGGAGATGTTTTATTTTTCAGTTACATTTGCCTGTGATTCTTTTGCGAGAAGTCATTCAATTAATTTTTTCTTAAATTGTTATAAAGAATCGATTCAGTAAGTATTTAAGTAATAATAATAACTTCATAAGGCCCTACTTTACAACATGAAGTCATGTCCATTCTCATGCTACTGAGATACTAATTCATGTTTAGAATTAGCTACTATGCAGGGAAACCTTTGACTCTGCCATTCATGTTCGGAATTATTTTACCATGTAGCACCCAACATATCATGCTATTGATACCCAAAAAGTTAAGACCCAAAAGTCAATGAAATAAAATATTATTTTGACATCAACTTTATGTTAATAGTTTTTCTACGTTTCATAACTTACATTGTATGTTCTTCATATTTTGTATGGCAGACATCATATGTAATCTTGTTTTTACATGCGTTAGATCACCATTACTGTTCAGCAGCTACCAGCTCTCAAAGAAAGCCATCAATACCAATGTGCCTTCGACTCCTACCAGGTCAATGCTGCTATTACTACTGCCAATACAGTCATGTGCGTAACTCCTCCTGTGAGTGAATTGCCAACGATTCCAGAAGAAGGTAGGGAAAAATATTAATTATCTCTTCGTTAATTTATTTATTTTGAAATCTAAATTCTAACTGTTCTACAGTGCATGACACAATTCTTTTTTTCGGCGCAAAATGTTCACACACGACCGTCGTAATTTAAACTTTAAGTTTGCGAAACCTCGAAGTTATAATAAACGATCCACTTACCACGACGATGGTTCACACTGTTCACAGCGAATAATCAAAGTTCACTACAAACATGACAAGCCAAAGATAGCATTTATTTAACTACGAGCTAGCAAACTTCGAAGGTATTTTCGCTAACATAGCACATACATGTCACTACATAACATCGAAGTTTAAACACACGACCTAACCTTCAAAGACTGTCGTTATAAACCTATGATTAAAAGACTAGAAGAGCAGTAAGAGACCGTCAAAACTTTGGAAGAAAATCCAATTAAGATAAAGGTTCATATGATCTATAATAAGCCACAAATTTGTAGCATACCGTGGTTTCCCTTTTCATTAGTTTAACACTTAGTTTGCACTAAGAATCTGAAGAATTTCTCCTTTTCTCCATACAAAAATATTATTTCAATTTACCTTAAATGATGCAGATTTTTATTTTATATCGAGGGGAGGGGGGATAACGAAAAAAAAGTATGTTTACACACATACCTTTGAAGAAGATAACTTGAAAACTTTTGCAACCGTCTTATTATAGATCTCCATTTTTATTTACCACCAGCGGACCATGTAACATTGACACTTTCTATTGTCTCAACGGAAACTGTAGTAAGCTTCGTCAGCACGGATTTTATATCGTTTGACTGCACCCTTCATAAATCGTAGGTTCCTTGGTTTCTAGTTTTGTAATATGCCAACTTTGTTTTCAGGATACAAAGATAATTTTATTTTATTACTGGGCAAGTGTAAGGTAATTTGTCCCATACTTTTACTGATTACATACAAGATTTGACAATTCTGTGGTAGCTTAGATCAGAGGATTATCATAAATATTAAAATAAAACATTTGAGGTAATATGATTTTATTATTCCATTGCAATTGGTTTAATAATATGGGCAAATTGTCCTCCCCTTCTCGCCATCCTTCATGTACGCAAGTGGCTCTTTCTTCTATCTTAACAATAGCTAAAAATCCAAACATTCATGTTACAGGCTAAACATTTTTATGGGAGTTGTAAAGTGCAATGTCTATAAATATATCAAATGAATCGGGCGGCCCGACATTTGCTTCGGCAAAAATTGCTCTATGCTATATTTCGTCAAAGAAATAGGGTTAGGTGTGACGATTGCAATTGAGTGTTAGGTCATGTTTAGATTTAAGCTTATGTTTAGTCCAGAGTTGAAATTTAGAGTTTGGTAAATGTAGGATTATTGACTGCGTCACAATATTCACTGAGCTTGTGTTGTACAATCTAATTTCAGATAGGTAGGCGATCCAAGCAAAGACTCTTAATTCTTAGCATCACAGCCTTAACATCGTATCATTCTTTAAGTTCCAGTAATTTATTTTTTATATGTTTCTGGCAGGTGTTCCCCTTGTGTAACAAGTCCTTGGTCATGTGACTGGTGTGTTTATGACAACATGTGTACACATGATAGCAGCTCATGTCAGCCGGGAGAAACAGTGTTGATTGGAGAAAATGTAAGCATATTTGTTAACCCTAAACAAGCTCTCTTTCCCTCTCCGTGAGCAAAGCAATAAATTAGTTGATTGAAAAGAACGTAAGTTTAATAAGTATCTACCATATTCCTATATCATGTCATAAATGTCATCATGTTAAAACAAAGACTCCTTTTCACTTTAAAATGTCAAGGTCAATATTTTGAAAAAAACATACAAAATAACGTTAGACGAAGAAATGCGCAAAGGGAGGTCTGGACTCTTTGCAAAATGCAAAAACATTGACCTATTGAAATCAGTATAGACTCTGGATTTGAATATTAATTTTCCTTTGAAATCATGCCATTCAATGAACATTTGTAATGGAATACTAATATCATACACACAATTACAAAATCATAGATAATAAGCTTCAGGTGCAATGTGTTTGATTGTGTATCTTGTATCTATATCGTATTTTTAGAACGCTGTAGGTTTTGGAAACAAAGGCCAGAGTTATTGCCCTCAGCTGGTGGGGACAGCAGAATCGTATTTCATACCAGTTAATATTCCTTCTGGTTACGTACTTCTGGCAAAGAATCTCCCTACAGAGCAGACAAAGGTATGGTGCTATTATGTTTGCAAACATTACATGCACAATGTGAGATTATAATGTAATACTACTTAAACAACTACTGATGATAATAATAATAGTTCGTTACCACTTCCGACGAACCATGTTTATTAGCCGGCGTCTAGCACGGCGTCCACTACAGCGCTTAACATCTTTAAAGAATAAATTCTTATCTGGTACTGCCTTGCGACATGAATTAAACAATTGAATAATCTCTGACAAAAATATGAAAATTGTGCCTTATCATCTGTTGAAATTATGAAACAATTTTGTTTTCTAATCTAATATTTAATCAGATTCAGTCGTTCGATTGCATTCTTCGTATTGATGGAGTTTGGATACGAGTACCAAGTTCCTTCGTCAATGAAACTTATATCATATGTAGTGCTGAAGAGGTAAGTATTTGATTGGAAACCTTAGGAAAAAAAATCTTAAATTTTCAATCATCAATACTATGCTATGAAGGTGAATTGGGAACAACGCTTGTACAAGGCGAAGGGCTTTAGTTATGTAGTTCCCCCATTTCTTTGTTCATGGATTATTTTGTATCTTTTGTATCAATGTATTCTTTTAACCGAGAATAAATTGAGAATTTAATTGGAAAACAAAAATGATATTGCAATGATGAAAAGAGTTTCAATCTAACTAGATTAAAATCCCCATAAGTGAATTTTATTAATTAATACGTATCACATAAGAGAAAGTCTTGATTTCTGCTCTGAGTTCAAGAGCATACACCAAAAGAAAAAATAATGATACCATTAGGGCTTAATTGTAAAGCAATTTCTTACTGTATAGATATTTGCCATCTTTCCTCCGTCCATCCCCTCCTCCTTCTAGTCCTATATATTCTTCCCATCATCTTCCTATCTTCTTCCCATCTTTTTATTTTTCCTCCCCCTTTTCACTATCCGGTTCTCTTTACGCTCTCGTGCTGCTTTTTGCTAAGCCTTTCATCATTTTCTCTTCCCTGTTTTCCCTTTCTTCCTTCATCTTCATTAATACTCGCAGTATGTTTATACTAATTCGTAGGTAGAGTGCATATAGTAATAATATGTCCTTTATATGGCGCAGCTACTATAGGCATAAGTTCTTTGGCGCGTTATAAAAAGTGTAACATTATTACCCCAGCTAAAGCTGAGCTGTCGTTATAGGGTGCTAAAGGATCCAAGGAATTTCTTCCTACCGGGTACCAATTTACTTCCCTAGAGTAGGATGTGGCAAGTGTTAACTACTTTCTTGCAAAATACATTAGTACCGTGGCTGGACTCGAACTGCGAACCATGTGATTCACAGTCCGGTGACATATCTACTAAACCATAACACATATCCTGTATTTTGGAAATTATTACCCTGACCTTTTCCTCTAAACATCATCTTTACCATCATTTATACTAAAAATTACACCTGTCTTTTATGTTAACCATGTTAACTATGTTCGTTTGAACCTTTTATTTCAGTACATGTATATTGAGAACATCATCGGTTCGTTTGAACCTTTTATTTCAGTACCTGTATATTGAGAACATCATCGAGAAGAATGTAGGCGTCTCGGTTCAGTGGAATGGGCTATACACCATAGATGATCCGACAGATACATATGGTATGATTATGGACCTACGGTCCATGGTATGACACCCTTTTCGTGTTCTGCCAATACATGCTCCATCAATTCCACAGCATGTTTTGGATATGGCACTGGTTTTTTTAACTATGACCAAATACCTAAATGGCCCTTTGAGAGCCTGAAACTTTCCAAAGATAAAGAATTAGAAATCAGTAACAACGTTTTCTTGTAGCATGGACCTAGGTTAACCTCCCATAGCTTAACGAAAAATTTTCATCCTTGCTTTATGCGCATGAGGTATCCCTGAACAGCAAATTGTTTACGGAATTTTGTAACAAAATTGACATGCCATTTTGGTCGGAGCTGAAAAAAATATATAGCCACAAACAATATGTTTTTTTTCTATTGATGATTAATG